GCTTGTGTTTCTTTAGGGTGTTGTTTTATAACCGCGGGACCCAGCCCCAAGCTGCTATTCCCATAAAACCGGGGCGCGTCCGCGCGCGCTGCGCCCCGGAGCGCCGCGTATTCCCAGCTCCGGCTGTTTCCGTCGCATCCGGCTACGCGCGGGAGCAGCACGGAGGGCGCAGGACCCCAGCACCCCATCAGAGCATGGCAATATCTTATAGCGATATCTTATAGCGATATCTATCTTATAGTGATATCTTATAGCGATATCTATCTTATAGCGATATCTTATAGCGATATCTATCTTACAGTGATATCTATCTTATAGCGATACCTTATAGCGATACCTTATAGCAATATCTATCTTAAAGCAATATCTTATAGCAATATCTATCTTATAGCAATATCTATCTTATAGCAATATCTATCTTATAGCAATATCTATCTTATAGCAATATCTTATAGCAAAATCTATCTTATAGCGATATCTTATAGCGATACCTATCTCATAGCAATACCTTATAGCAATATCTATCTTAAAGCAATATCTTATAGCAATATCTATCTTATAGCAATATCTATCTTATAGCAATATCTATCTTATAGCAATATCTATCTTATAGCAATATCTATCTTATAGCAATATCTTATAGCAATATCTTATAGCAATATCTTATAGCAATATCTTATAGCAATATCTTATAGCAATATCTTATAGCAATATCTTATAGCAATATCTTATAGCAGTATGTATCTTATAGCGATATCTATCTTATAGCAAAATCTTATAGCGATATCTACCTTATAGCGATATCTACCTTATAGCGATATCTACCTTATAGCGATATCTACCTTATAGCGATATCTACCTTATAGCGATATCTACCTTATAGCGATATCTACCTTATAGCGATATCTACCTTATAGCGATATCTACCTTATAGCGATATCTACCTTATAGCGATATCTACCTTATAGCGATATCTACCTTATAGCGATATCTACCTTATAGCGATATCTACCTTATAGCGATATCTACCTTATAGCGATATCTTATAGCAATCTTATAGCAGTATGTATCTTATAGCGATATCTTATAGCAGTATGTATCTTATAGCAAAATCTTATAGCAATATCTATTTTAAAGCAATATCTATCTTGTAGCGATATCTGTCTTATAGCAATATCTATGTTATAGCGATATCTTATAGCAAATCCATATCAAGCGAGCCAACCCGGGCACCCTGGCGCTGCCCTCACCGAGGCTGTAGGTGCCGAGCGCGGCGTAGTCCAAGAAATAGCAGAGGTGCCGAGTCCGGCCCGACATGGTGCTGAACATGTGGGCACAGCTGGATGCCAACGGATACAGGCAGCAGGAGACCAAGTAGGTGACGAAGGGCCACGCGTGCGGCCCGGACACCAGTTTCCAAAGGAAATACCTGGGAAGCGGGGATGGATTT